GAGGATAGCTGCTCCTGCTTTTTTGAGGTTCCTGTCACATGGTGTATTGTTTTTCACCCTTTAACTTTCTGTCTATGAGTTTCTTTTTGAATTAAGTGTGTTTCTTGTATGCAGCATATTGTTGGATCTTGCTTCTTGACCCATTCTGCCAGTCTATTTTTTTTGATTGGTGAATTGAGACCATTAACATTGATTGTGATAATCGGTACATATTGACTTATCCTTGTCATGACTTTTTCTTTTTGTTCGATTCTCCCCCTTTAAGTTTAATTTCTTGTCAAGTCTGATGGAATCATTCTGCTGGGCTTCCTGGGGTTGTGATTCTCATAGTCTTTTCCTAGGATATTATCTAAAAGTTTTTGGAATGCTGGTTTGGTATTCATGAATTACCTCAGGTGCTCTTTGTCATGAAAGTATCTTATTTCTCCATCAATTTTGAAAGATAGTTTTGCAGGGTACATCAGTCAGTGTTGAAGGTTGATTTCCTATTGTGCTTGAAATACATCACCTCCAAGCTCTTTTTGGCTTGAGGATTTGTATTGAGAAGCCTGCTGTGATTCTTATAGGCTTTCCTTTGTATGTGATTGGTTTGTTTTCTCTAACTGCTTGTAGAATTTTGTTCTTCTTTTGAGTTTCTGGAATCTTAACTATTATATGTCTAAGTGTAGATTTTTTCTTTTTGATCAAGGCTAGTTGGAATCCTATGTGCCTCACTTATCTGTATGTCAAGTTCTTTTTCTCCACTTGGGAAGTTTTCTGCCATCGCTTCTGTGAACAGTTTTTTTATGTCACCTGCACGCTCTCTTGTTTCTGCATTGACTCCAATCAATCTGATGTTATTTTTCTTTGCATTGTTTAGCCGCTGCTGGATTGATTTCTCCTGGTCCCTTACTATTTTAAAGAAATTTTTCATTTCCCGGTCACTAATTGCAATCTTATCTTCTGTATCTGAAATTCTGTCCTCACATTGGCTCATTCTGCTGTGTAAACTTTCAATGGTGTTTTTATTCTCCTAGAAATCTGTTTGCTTCTGTTTCATGGTTTCCATTTGTTTCCTATGTTGGGATTCTATCATGTTCTTCAGCTCCTCTGTTTTTTTATGTGTGTCCTCTCTAGATTTATTAATCATGTCTTGCACTATGGGCACAATCTCTGCTGTTACGTGAGAAATTATTTCTTATTTCATTTTTTCCAGATCCTCTTTTGTTACCAGTTCAGGGAGTCCAGGTTTTTGACTATCAGATTGTGCCAACTTTTTTTCCTTTGGGGTTTCTTTAGGTGATCAGGAAGTCTTTTTTGACACTTGCTTATGTGTCTTCTCATTTTGTGGGGTGGTGCGGTGGGGAGGGAGGAATGGGTGCTTCTGGTGCCTGCATGGCTCACTGCCTGGGCACTGGGGGTGGTGGTATGGCATCCTGGAAAGTTCACCTCCTCTGTGCTTGGGGCAGCTCTGCTCCTCGGCACTTCAGACAGGGACAAATCATCAGCTGGAGACATAAGGTCTGCCTGAGAAGCAAGGGCTCCATTCAGATCTCAATGATTCTTAATTTTTGACTTTCATCCATTGTTTTCCTACCTAAAGTGTATACTTCTCCTTTCTGATTTACACTCCATAATTATGATAGGAGTTTTATGCAATAATTTATGTGAAATTTGAATAGCTATATAAAATTCAAAAATAATTCTATTTCGGCAGCCACATTATTGGAGTACAATTGTATTTCCTGAGTTATTGACCTTGTTTATATGACTTTTACTTTCTTTCCCATAAATTTGGGTAGTTGCTGCAACTAGCTCATGAATAAATGGTTCTGGGAGGTGGAGGATATAAATCTCTGCATTTCCTATATCTTTCATTCTGCTCTGAAGACTGTTCTGTTAGTGGCTATTCTTGCCTATATGGTACATAAAACTCAGGGTGAAAGCAACCTGGACAGGATGAGATCCATAACCACCCTTAGAGAGCCACTGTATTATGATAGTGATTAGTGTAATTTTTTAATTTTGGAAAGGAAACTTATGGATCTCATCACAATTTGAATTAATCATGGAATTATTTTATTTTAAAGAATATAGAAGTGCTCTTGCTGAGGAAGATCTGTATTCACTATAGTACCCAAACTACATACATCTTTTTGCTTTGAAAATCATAAGAAAAATGTTTAAAACATAATATTCCTATTTTTGTTTTGTTGTATGTGCAACAGCAAAATTAAAAAGATATTCTTTTTAAAATTTTAGGCAAAAGAATAGAAACTTTCAGACTGTTAATTAAAGTAATTTTACTAAAAATAACCATACTGAAACATAATAATAAAACACCAAAAGGACAACTTAATCACAATACTTTCCATTCATCACATCAGTTCTTTTTAAAGTCATTATAATAATTTTACTTGATCAGAAGATAAGTAATATACTTTAGTTTATTTAGATGATCTTTTAAATTTTGAATGGCTTTATTTTTCTTTTGAGTCTGAGAGGTCAATTATTTTAAGGCTAATAATAGAAAATGTACCAAATTTCAATTTTCATGGATCTTCCAGATCCTTGGTAAAAGGCATAGAAGTACTCATATATTTTAACTTCTTCAGTGATATGAAGGGATACTTTTGTTTCCTAGTCAAGGGTGTTTATAGCTTTAGAATTTATTTTTTCCATAATATGCACTTACCATTAATGAGTAAGCTATCATTTGCCTCCCACACAATCTTTGATGCAGAGAATTACGATTAGTATTTAGGAAAGACAAACCCTGGTATCTAAAATAATTTTCCAGATATACTATTAATCTGTATATAAAATAGCTGACCAGTAAACAGATATATGTGGGACTGGTAGTATCATTTATTCTTTACTGGAAATGGTAGAAAAAACCAACCAAAACAAAATTCCTCAGAAAACAGAAAGTCATTTTCTTAAGACAGGAAATGTTTCTCAATCGATGAGCACAATTGCTCTTCTCCATGTTAAGCTCCAAAGTTGATAGAAATAATTTCAACAACTGCCTTATTGAAGGCTTATGTTTTATTAAGCAGTCTTCATAAAAATACCACGATTGACAATTATTGTGCTGGCAAAGAACCAAGCCATTATTTGTTTTTAACTACATTCACATATACTTTATTTAAAGGTCAAAGATGATTTCTGTCCCTGAACACATTTTTCCTTGTACCTAGATTAAAAAAAAAAACGTTGCTTACATGAGTCGAAAATCAAAAATTCTGATGCTGTAAGAGCTTTTTCTTTTTGAAACTGGTTATACTATCAAGCAGTTTTTTCTTCCACAAAAATCTGGCCCTTGTATATTGCCTCCTCTTATGTGATTAGTAACATTATAATACTATATAGTTAATATGGAAGTTTTCATAAGACTTAAATATATAGCTGTTATTTTTATAGTATATACTTTCCAAAAGTGGGAAACATTGTGCTTTCTGTATGCAGTAACTGGATGGCTTCTAAATGGTTATAGATACTACTTTAAATTTAATAGGTAGGACAACAGGTTTTGTTAGAACAGAAAGGAAAATGAAAGTAGTGATTCCTATACCTTTTATTCAGTGGTTGAATCCAAAAAGCATAAGGTCTGAAAGATGCATAAATCATAGAAAGAACCAAATACACATTATATATCTCCATATTTGTAAAAATAACTATAAGATTTGCATTACTCACTAGTAGTCATCTTAGACATAGAGCTATGTAGATTGGGGCGGGAGGTTAATCTACCAACCATGGTTTGAATTGTTGGATACAACTCTTTTGATGATGGAAATTACTTGCAAATGAAATTAGCAAAAGAGCAATGTTGAAGTCAGTGTTGCTCTACTGAAATACTCCTGATGGCCCTTGTGCAAGTGTATAATATTCTGTTATATGTGAAAATAGAATCCGTGTGATTTATTTGATAGGCACTTGATGCTAATTTTGTAGATTGACAAAAGAGTTCTTTGAGTACCAATTGATGGACATTGCTTGTCAGTCTGTCTTTACTTAAGACTATGTTGTACATTTTCTTTAGTGTTCAGCTTCCAGAAGTGAAAGAGGAGTGAAAATTAAGAGCAGTATGATTTAGAATAGAGCACTGACATCCAGGAAAATGAGTCAATGAAAGCTATGTCATTATATTCTCATTTTTAGTTTCCCCAAATTAACCTCAATATGTATTGTCTTCTTATTCCTTGAGACATAGTATCCTTTATTAAAAGCCTTGGAGAAAATTTACAGGGAGAGGGAACCATGTTGAAATAGTACATTTTGCTTCTGATTGTTTTGATAGAATTATACAGTTTGTTCATGGAAAAAGTTGAAATTTAGAAAAAAAATTTTTGTTTGCATTTTCTATTTTAGTTGTGTGATCTCTAGTTCCAATAAATAGAGGAATTTGGAAGTTAACGGGCTGAGAGAAAGTTTTATAATGATGTAGCTTTCCTATGTAAAATAGTTATGTTAATGCAATGGTGACCGGTTAAGCTCATTGCATGCTCTTTAGTCTGCAGCAATTTTGTTGAAAATTTGATGTTCATATTTTGAGTGTTCTTGAATATGTATATGTGGAAATCCTACTTGTATTTCCTAACAAAAGAGCACAGTGCTTCCAAATGTAAGAAATTCTGTTAAATTCTGAAGTTAAGCAGTTTAATTACTTGAAAGATTTGTTTTAATTATGTTTCTCACAGGTAAAACCCATGAAATTAAGTTGTTTAAATAGCCTCAAGTTTTTTCTGTAATTTTACATTTATCACCTACTTCTTTTTGCTAGATTGAGAATATAGTTATACCTTTACCAAACAAACACTTAAAATAAATCAGCATTAGCACTAACACATGATTCAGATTGTTGTTTTTATTTTTTTCTGTAGCTATAGGTGCATGTTGCAGCTTTCCATTGTGGTCATTGTGGTTCATCTCATTAAGCTTCTTGTTCTATCTGCTTCCTTGAGACTTGGGAAACAGTATTTTTCTGAGTGATTGTACCATATTGTTCCAAATATAAGGCCACCCAGAATAGAAGGCAACCTCCAACTAGAAACAGCTCAAATGTGGAGAAAGGCTGGGGGCCCAGAGCCCGGCGGGTCTGGCAGTGGTGGCAAGGGTGCCGAGGAATAGGACGATGCCTGCCCACTCTCCCGGTGAGTGAAGACAAGTCAGCTGGCTGCATTTGCTGTGCATAACCAGGTGGCTTCTATTGCTAGAGGAAAAGTTTTATTTGGGGGTAGAGAATAAGTCCATATACATAGAAGAAGGTTGCTGCATATCTAAACCTGGGGAGGGAGGATGGGAGTAGAGTATGTCACCTCTTAAACTTACTGTCTGCAGTGTTTTTTCTTTCTCAACCTTGGGGTGAAAATGGAGCAACCCCAAATGCAAAAAATAATAAAGGTACCCTGGACTTTTCATTAAGAGAAGTGTAAGAGATTAATAGCCGTGAAAATGAACTAACACCATTGTATGTGTCTAGGGCAGCCCAGAAAATTCTTCCTTGCTCTTTCCAACTGACTGCTGACTGAGAGGTAGTGCATACTTGATGTATTTGCACTGTGTATTCAGTGTGGCTTGAAAACAAACCAGTCAGGCTAGTAATCACACTTACAATTTTATTAAGATTTTCTGTATTTTGAAATTCCCTCTCTTCTGAGACATTGAAGTATAATTTAAATAAAAAGCCTTAGTCTTATTGAAATATGCTCCAAGAAACTTATTTAACATCATCTGTACACTGGTATTTTACTCATTAGAATATTAAAAAAAATAATTTAGTGCCAATGTGTTGGTCAACTGGTTTTATTCTACTAAGCAAAGTGAAAGCTAACCTTTTATTTTATACCTCAGATGAGACAGAATAAGGTGCTTGAAGACTGTTTAGCACCTTGTTGCTGACTTTTACTAGGCATTTGGTCATTGAAGCTTCATACATAAAAAAAAAATCACATAGTACATGAACCTTCATTTTCTTATTGATTAGAAACAGAATTTCCCTTGTGTTTATACAATGATAAATGGTCCAAGAGATTGAATCTGAGGATGCCATTAACAAACCAAAATGCCCTAACAGAATCATACATGTATTAATATACCTATCTTTTTGCCAAATTTGGGAAAAAATTCTTTGAAACAGAAAAACTTGGCAGAAAAGTTTTGAAAGGATAAGCTGGAAGAAAGGTAGCCCATAATGGAAAAATGCTGCCTGCCAGATTAGATTACCCATCAGAAGAAAAATGGCACTATGATGGTGAGTCCTTAATGGGAGGTGAAGTGAACTCTATAACCTTAAAAGAGCTCCTGAGGGTAGTACTAGCAGGGGAAGAGAATAGCAGAGGACCAGAGTTATTTAGAGAAGAAGAGCTTCCACTCTAACTGCATAGCTTTGGAACCATTTGATCTTTGTAGAGGAAGATGCTGTCTAAAATTTGGGGGCATGAGAAAGTGTGTGCCCCTTAAAGATCTTTAAACCTCAAATAATTTCCCTCCTATTATTTATATCAGGAATTATTATGTCTGATTTGACCTGAATTATAAATACAAGATAATAAATTTTATAATTTCATTTTCCAGAGGAGGATGGGCTTTTATATTTGACAAAGCTGTTTCATCACCTGCTCTTAATTTAAGTCTTAGAAGGCAGAGGCTGAAGTAGTTACCTACATATTATATTCCATTGTTTCCTTTTTCTGTTGGCTAGAGAAAAAAAGGGCAGGACCTGATTAATTGCATAACTTTTTGAACATAGAAAAGAAAGTAGTCTCAGTAGGCTTGCATAGAGGCAAAGGGAGCCATTAAATACATAGGAAGAAATGACAGAGTAATGGAACAAATAGTTCAGATTAAGTAATAAGAATCATTGTAAAAATCAATGGGTTGTTAATTTCACTGTAAACAGCATTGGCACATACAACCCACACCTGTAACTATTGCAGTGATAAACTTTTGTCTCCCATCCCTAAAAAATACACACTATAAAAACATGCTTGTGGAGATATTGGAATTTAATTGCCCAAACCATTTTGTCTCTCTCTTTATGAATTCATATATGATACACCTACAGTGGCTCCTACACAGGGAATTTGACTGATGGGATTAAATGGAGCAGTGATTAATCTATTAGACGTGGTAAAAATCAGTAGGTTTGTTGATAGGCAAAAATTAAATTTCTCATTGTCTCTAAGTGTAATGATCTGCTTAAAAGCAGATTTAGAACATTCCCATTCCTGCTTTTTCTAGGAGAGTAGATAACTCTGCTCTCTTTTTCTTCTTCTTTTCTTATCCATTCTTTACCCAAGCATTCTTTTTTTTTTTTAAAAAAAAGACCCCTACTGAGAAATTCCCAGTTCTTATGCAGATACTGTGACTTACACAAGACTAATTAATTATGCCCAGGTTCTGATTTCTCACAACTAGTGTTGAAGAATAACTTAAAGAAATGTAATTTGCCTCTATTTTGGTTTCCATTTTTCAAAAGACTAGAAAACAAGGGAAATATTTGTTAAAGAAAATGTTGAATTTGGTTAAATCTCTTCTGAAAGTACTATAAGTCTTTCCCTCAAAGAAGAGTTTTCCAAGAAACACAGTTTCTCCAATGCAAGAAAGCAGTAAGTCTGCATTTTCTGAGACATAGAATATGGCATTTGACCTGCTGAGCAAGCATGTTTAACTCAGGTGTGGAGTAACTCATGAATTCTCTGCTTCTGAGTATCTTTAAGTTTCAAAAATCATTCTTGAAATATTTTTAAATGACCATTTCTTGGAGGCCATTGGTGTTTTTGGTATATCAGAGATGACATCTGGATATACATAGGAATGGTTCTTGGTTAAATGTGCTCCAATTAACAGGTTGATAGCATTTTAGGATAGGCTAGAAAAAAGTAATGAAATGACTAATTCTCACTTGGCAGTGAAATTGAATATTGAATGACATCTAGTTTTAAACGACTTTTGTTTTAATAACAAAGTTGTTGATTTTCTACTAAGGGTTCTTTTAGGTTGTCATCAGGGGCTGATGGGAGTAACAGTTCACCCAACTCTCCAGCTAGCTTCAGTGGACATACCACACCTTCTCAGCAGCCTGAACCTGTGGTACATTCTCTTAAGGTAACCAAATGTGTGCAATCATTTATCCAGAACTTCAGTTGTGTTGTGGCTTGTTTGCTGTAGTCTGGTAGTCCTCACAGTCTTGCTTTAATCATAGATACTTTATTTTTTGACCCCTAATGGTATGACTTTTTAATCTTAATTTTTGAAGTATGAATTTCAATTTTTAAGCTAACAATGGATTTGAGTACTTATGGTTGAAACTCTACTTTTATCATTTTGTTTTGAGTAATGTGATTCGTATCTATCTGCATCAAAGTTGAAGTCTGATGTGCATGTATATCCATATTTGTAAAATATTGTTATAGCTATTATATGTGCAATGTTTGTAACATGGATGTCTTCAAATGTCAGGAGTTAATAGTTGTAAAAATGAAGAAGACTTCCATATTTTTCTTTCTTTTTGCAACTGAAGTACATTGTGCAACCTATGAAAAGAAAATATTGAAATAAACAGCATTTTACTTTTTCATCTAATGAGTGGAAATTAGGTCTTCAAATTACAGTTAGAAAATAGATATATGTTTTTATATATAAAGATAATTTATTTTTTACCTTTACTTCAGAATTTATAATAACTTTACAAAAACTTGGGAAAAATTTATAACTTTCACACAATAAGAAGCTTTCTAATAAGCAAAATCAGTAATTGAGCGCAATAACTAAAATAAATATTTAGTAATGTAAATGTTTACCTAAGAGAAGAAATTGATGCAGACAATAAAAATCATCTTAAAATTAAGGTAATTCCTTGGCATTCTATTGATTTAAATATAGTAAGCATTTAACTATATGATGATAGCTATAATACCTAAGAAAACCCCTTGATTAAACCTTTGTGAACCATAAAATAGGTGGAAAGCTTCAGTTCTGTTTATGGCCCATAAGTTTCCCAACTTTAGTTAAAATTTTTTCACCCTACAGTGATTTATCATCATATTGAAGATACACTTTTTTGGAGTGGGCCACACTTTTCCATGACATGCATAATAAGTAGATGATGTTAAAATGTTTGATTTTGAGATAATTTAATTTTGGCCAAAGATTTACTTATCTCAGTGTATTTTGTTTTAGCTTGTGTAAAGTTGGGTATGCTCTTCACACACACTGATTGTGGTTGAGAGAAGGTAGAAGAACCACTGCTGGTAGTCATGAGGAATGCACTTGGTATTTCTTGTCTTAGGATAATTCACAAGTAAGCAACTGAGAGCAATTCATGGGAAGGCACAACCAGTACAAGGGGCACAGCTCTTCATCTAGTGGGTTTTGGCTTATTGCCTGAGGAACATTTTGCTCTCTGTGTTAGCACTTGAATAAACTTTAGTATGAACCAGATACTAGCAATTGTAAAGGATTTTAGAAGCGGAAAAGGTACCCGAAATTAACTTTAGCTTTGTAGGATTATAGTGTCTGCACAAACCAAAAGCAGTATTTTACCCTACTAGTAAAAATTGAAAACAAGCCTGTTGCCTTCTTAAATGGCTATTGATGTTTGAATCCCATCAGCAGAGTAAGTTACATCAAAACCTTCCCCTAATTTCTCAATGCATTAGTTATTATTGTGGCCTCAAAGGAAGGGAAGGTGCAAGAAAGGGCTCCTCAATTTTCTCTGAATTCCTTCTCTAATTTTTGTGTGAAAATTTATCTCAAGAGAGGAGATACTATTTTATAATCAGAGCACATAAGTGTCCTTGTTTGACAGATGGGTGATACTGAACAACTGAAGCATCCTTATTGGATAACTAGAGGCCCTTGAACATAAAATGTGTTTGCTTCCATGAGTTAACTGTGTCATAAAACAGAAGTATGTGCAAACATAGTCTTTGGAAAAATCTTAAGAAGATCTCAGTGTACAAAAAAAGTGGCCAATTGACATGCCACTTTCTGAAAGGAATAATTAGAACAATGGCTCAGTTTTTCACTTTCTGATGGTTTCAAAGAAAACTTGCCTATAATAAACTCTGTGGTCACAGTTTGTGGGGGACTGGTGAAAATCAATGGAAGAAATTAGTCCATTTGTAATGACATCATATTTCTCTGACTGTAAAATTCATGATTGTTATTCATTAAGCTTCACTTCATTTAGTAGAAATTAACTGATTTAAACTGTACTTCTCTGAGGTATATTGAATTTGTAGGCAAATGAGCTTGTTTAAGGGGCTCTTTGTTTTCTATGACTACATACTAAACAAAGTCAATTATTTCCCTAAGCATGTAAAGAATGTGAATTTAGTATGAGGTGAGTTATCAGGACTTCTAAGAAGTGGTATCTATATAATAATAATGGGTAGGAGTTTCAGATTAATAACAAAATGTTTAAATTTGATTATTTATCACAAAATTGAATTCTAGTTAATCTCAGATAGGATCTATGAATTGGACATGATAGTCCCACCTGTTCATTGCTGCAAATTCTCAGGAGACACCTGTAGATGTGGCCATCAGTACTGACCATGCCTACAATAGAACCAAATTGTTGAAGAGTGTTACAGTGTAGCATGGATTCTCTAGGAGCTTTTAGGAAAAGCAGTAGTTTTTATGTTACCTTAATGCTTTGGTTTGTAAGGTGTTATAAAGAAAAAATGACCAACAACATTCAAAGCCAAAGTTTTGTTTCTTTTTGTTTCATAAAATGTAGCCATGTGAAAACTTTGAGTGTTATTAAAGGAATACTTCAACCCATTTATGGATAATTTAGAGATGTAGAAACATAGGCCTATAAGATTGTTTAAAAGCATTTCTTCATCAGACATTTCACTAATGAAAGATAAAGTGTTGCTCAAATGTTTTCATTATAAAGAGCCAGTGTTTTTCTTTGCTTCTATCAAAGAGTGATCCCCACATTCTTTTCTTAAGCACTAGGAACATATCCAGGAAAGATGTGTGAGTTAGTAGTTCTTATGTGCATATTCTTATTTAGTTATCTTTTCAATGGCCATGTCTATGTAACATTTAGGCTGTGTGGTATATACTTCTATTGTTCACTATTAAAATGGACCAAGAATTATGGACTGTCCCCAAATGGTTCACAGTATTAAGTTATCTTAATGGCCAAATTAAATACATTATTTTAGACATTAGTGAATTTAGCTGCTAATGATACAATGAGTTTCTTTTAATGACCATTTGAAATCAAGTAGAATTTATTGTAGATAGGTTTCATAACAATAAATTATTTAAAAATACTTTTGCTGTGTATGAGTCCATTCTGATATGAAGACACAAAGAAAACTAAAAGATTTACAAAATGGAGCTCCTTGATCGCTTTATCATAACTAACAAGTTTTTCTTTTCCCATGTGAAATTTGCTTTTCTTTTTCAACAAATCCAGGTCTTGGATGTTCAGGAAACTATAGATCGTCAACAGGGTAAAGAGTATGAACATGACCTTAGTGAGACAGAAAAAGCTATAGTCAGAGAAATGTGCAATGTAAGTTTGATGTGCTTTATTTTGTATTCTGTGTTGAGAGCCTCATCATAGCTTAGTTACTACCTTATGAATACTTCCCTTTGAAAGTGCTGACTGAATGCCTTTTCCATAAGAAAATAAAACAATTGCCCTTGTTTTTTGTCTTCAGTATATTTTATTACAGGTTTATTAACCCACTAATAATATTATAGAATATTAATGTCAGAGGGCTGGGGGGTAACTCAGTATAATAGTGCTTGCCTAGCACGTGTAAGGTCCTTGATTCAATCCCTAGGACCATAAAAATAAAAATCACATTAAAATAAGACAATTTTGTATTCTAGGATGATCAATGAACTTCTCTAATTTGTTGTCTAAAATGTTATTGCTAATTTTGATAAAAATAAATGTTTTTTTGTCTCTTACTTGTAAGATATTACTTAAAAATCGGTGTTTAAAAACCTATGACTAAAAATACAGCTTTTTCCTATTTATATGTAACTATTCTTAGAAAATATCACTGCCTTACTAAGTTACATTTGCTTAGTTCTTCAAACATGATATGTGTGCTTCATGTTATGGAAAGAATTCTCTGGACTTTTCACTAGTTAACTCAGAGAGTAGAAGGTGAGATAGGCAGGAAGCTAAGGAATAGTTAGATGAATGAAAGTCTATCCATGAAGTAGAGAGAGGAACAAAATTTTTAAAAATTATGTTATTTTTATGATATATATCTAATGTAATTATTAATGCAGTTTGGATTTTCCCTAAATTTTAATTTTTGAGTAATATGGATTGGGTAGGCTATTTAATCAAGAATACAGCTTGTGAAATGTCAAAGAGCTAGATGGACTATTGTAGAGGAAGCCATTTGTTAACTGCAAGAAATCAGGTTAAAGCACTGATCATATTAAGCACTGGATTTAATTGGCTTTGTATTATACTTTTATTTTCATATTCTTTTCTCCATTAGGCCAGAAAACTTGCTTAGAAATACTCATTAGCTTTAAGGTTATTAGGACCAGATATTCTCTAACCCTCATTCACCTCCTCAAAATGTTTCTAGAATCCAGTAAATGTAACCTAAGTTCATTAGCATTCTGTATGTGCTGGTGGTGAGGTGGGGTTAGCCTCCTGCTTACCTATGTTGTGGCTGCTTTTTCTTTTGCAACCCTTTCCAAGTTGTTTTCTTTTGTGCACATCTATTGTCTGTTTTTAAAAGGTCACTAGTTCTAGATGTCACAATTTTCTAGTCACACTACTTTTCACCTTCTGTAGCTTTTCAACTTGTGCTTAAGATTTTCAATTTGAATAGTTCCCTTAGATAAATTTAAAACTTTGAGCCACATACCTAAAATACAATTTGTAAAACTTTGGAACGAGAAATAAAATTCAGATAATAAGAAGTGTAGAACTAGGAAGAATCACAGAGTTTATCCTCCAGTGGTCTCCAAAGAGTGTGTGAAGCTCTTTTAGAATCACATATCTGCTTTTTAACATCTTACAAGTGATTTGGATATGAACCCCTATGTAAAAACCCAACACGCACATTTTACATTAAGGAATTAATATCCAGAAATGAAGCTACTTGTTCAACTTGTTTTCTAATGAACAGTGAAGTTAAGAATAAACCCAGACCTTTGAGGATAAAATCTTTTCACTTTATCAACTGTAGTAAATCTGGGGAATTTCAAATTCTTTCCCAAAGAATGAGAATCACCCCATCTTATGGATTCAGCTCCATGTCTCTGTTGTAGTTAATGTAAGAATTTCTGAAGAGAAATGCCAGAATTGGGTCTTGACCTTTCTTTCTACTTCCTCTCCTCCTTCCTTCTTTATGAAAGATGTCAATGATTACAAAATTCATTTCTGTAATCTTGAAAGAAACCCACCACTGCATTGGATATCGATGAGCTTTTTGTTGATATTTTTGTTTGCCTGTATTTTAAAAAATGTTTCAAAAGGCACCATGTGGTGTTGGTGTTTTTTTAATTATACAAGATACTTTGGGAAACCCAATAACTTATCTTCCCGTTTACCTTTAAAAGTTCCCTAACGTATCTTTCTATAGGTGCACTTTTGCCTTTGATTTCTGGAATTTGAGAAAAAAAATGCACACCAGCCTGTATCTGATTCTTAAGAATTCATATTTGGAAATAATTTAAAGCCAATAGAAAGAAGTGTTGATTTATAATACTGGCTTCACCATTATAAATTATATAGTCATCAAAAGCACAAAATGGATATTGGGGAATAAAGATATTTCAAAGATAAGTAATTTCTTAGAAACTAGTGAAGCTTATGAAACCCTCATTCCTATTGGAAGAACTGTACGCCTTTTTAATAGTGTCACAGAAATATAACACTTTCTCATAAAGTAAGATCAGTTACAAGACTCAGATAGAACTTTGTGTAAGAGAAGTTTTTCCATACTTTTTGATAATTCTCCTGGAGATAAGTTGTTGGCATCTATGCAGTGAAAAGACTGTTATCCATAGGAGCATCATGTTGGTTAATAAGCATTCAGTCAATTAATCTCTTCTGGAGATAAATATACTTCCTTTTAAGAATTAACACATCTATCTGTTTGTAGTAACACTTTTATTTTGGGATTGTCTGTTTAGCTCTTATAACAAATTTCCTGACAGTGGTTGAAATACTTACTGGTTATTTCACTCAAAATTTCAAATACACTTCTATTCCATTTTCTAGTTACTCAGTCACTACTCCTGTTTCCTCCTTGGATAAGTGGTTTATTTCAGATTCTACCTTCTATAAGAGTTTGCTTTAACCACATTATAATATTTAGGTAAAGGCCCACTGTGTTCCACATTTGAATAATTGAAGAGAGGAGTTGCATTTTTGAGTTGTAGCTGGTAATGTTTTGGCTCTCTGATCTGTGAGGCCTTCAAGTCTGTCCTCTGTCTCCAAACTTGACGTTCAGACATTCTGGGTAGACATAATTATACTTACACACTGGAAAGGGAAGCATCATAGTAATTTCAGTTTCTTGATTCAGTACTTGTACATCTTCAGTTGACATCAGTCAATTTAAGAAGAGACTTTCCTAACTTGACTGTGTTTAACTTGAGCTGTCCATTGCTATAAAACTCTTTTCCAAATATTTAATGACAATAATTCCAATTCCCCTTGTATACAACAGGACATTTCTGCCACGTGGTGGTGTCTGCTGAGAAAACAGATACTAATAATTCTTTTGGCTTAGAAATGAAGATAGACAAAAGTCTTATATTCTTATCTATTACTATGAATGGCGTTGGGTTAACCTGGAGTTTATACTTCTATTTAAAAGCAAAAAAAAAAAAATTTAAAAACACAAAATCTGAATGATGAATGAATAATTTGGTTTTGTGTCCATGTTAGAGCATTGTAAATTGTTGTACAATTCATCTAATGTGGTCCTCATAGTGAAACACTGTAGGAGGGTTATGGCTGTTATTGTGTGTGTACTTATTCCAATCATTGTTAGTATATTGGTATATCATTTATGAATTCCAAGTTTTTCTTTTATACTTACTTTGTTCTTGATCTCACCTTTTGCTAACATCCCTCTGAAGTCACCTAGTTTTTAACAGGTCATAATTGTAACTCTTTCAAAGATTCTGAAATTTATTCTTACATTTTCCCTCTATATTTGAATGGTTTCTCTTTTATAAATCTGAGAAAATTGTTTAATAGGTAAGATTTGTGACAACTGAGGGCCTCACTCTATAGAGACATCCAGGGAAATTTAACAGTGGATCTAAGACTACCAGCTCAGAACAGGTAGCTAAAGAACAAAAGCTCCTTCATTTTCCTAGATGAATTAGATACTTCATGTATGATGTAGGAACCAGAATATTCTTGCTAAAGGGCTCTTCATTCTGTCTACACATTAAAATCACTTGCAGAGCTTTTTAAAAAATACAAATGCCAGTGCCAATGAAAGCAGAATTTCTAAGGTGGAGAGTTACTATTTATGAACTCCCCAAGTGCTTTGTATGCAGCCAGAGTTGAGGACCACTCAGGTAACCAGAGTAGGTTGACACATTACTCTTTAGTTTTGACCCTGGTTGCTACCAGGATACAGTAGTCCCATCTGCAGAGTGGTTCTTTTGATTCAGAAGCTTGTCATCATGTTTTATTTTGTGTCTGAACTCATTCATGTGGATATTTTGTCTTGTCTTTGTATCCATCTTTGCCCCTCTCAGTTTTCCCTTAAAACCCAGAAGTCTTTTTCCAAAAAGAAGTCAAGTAAGATTGCTTACTCCTTATTTTTCCTTTATTTAAAAGGTTGTGTGGAGGAAACTTGGAGATGCTGCCGGTTCATGTCCTGGAATTAGGCAACATCTATCAGGAAACCAGTACAAAGGACCAATGTGAGAAGCATTCTTTTTCCAACATGAGATCCCTACTGCCAGAGAGACAAAAAAGAACAAAAGAAGAAAAACAGAAGAGTGGGTTTCCACAAACCTGGACTCATGGAATAACATGGATTGTACATTGCACACATCTCCCCTATAAAACCTTCAGTACATTAACCTGGTACTCTTGTGTCTTACTTTAGTGTCCAAAACAGTTAATCTCAAGGTAGCTCTTAATAATCACCATTTGGTATCAATATTTTCATTAGAATTAAAGTGTTTTTAACTTCCCAGATCTAAGATTATAATTGGGAAACCTGCATGGTTGGAAGCGTCCATTAGAGATTCAGTGGTTTTGATAGAGTTGACTTGTTCCGTATAGTGGTGGAAACTTTTTACCATGTAGTATTGAAGATTTGAAGAGGTGATTTCCAGCTTCCCAGGGTTGAAAGTTGGGCACTTACCTCTTGCACTTCATTTAAGAATATATATTAGTTCCCAACTCATAATTGATTTGGATATAAGAGATAAGGTTTCTGGGGGTTTTGTTTTGACTTTTGAGGTGCTAAAAATACCTTATAAATTCTATTACCAGCTAGAAGGTTAGCAAGACTTTGTAGAGTGCTTATCAGAGAGTATCATTTATTTCAAATGATCAAAATAAGTATATCTTTTCTTTAATATTGATGAGTTGCCCATAGGAGCACATTTGGGGACATATCAAACTCCATATTCATTCAGAATATTAATTTCAACTAAAAAACAAGCAAATATAATTTTTCTAAATGTTTAGAGCTGTGAGATGTTAATTTCTACAGTTTAGTTTCTAGACATGATGTATATTTAATAAACTTTATGTAAACTTTAAAATATTGCACTGCAGTTATGAAAAAAGCTTTCTTTGCCTACTACAGCTATTTAACATTTTATGAAACTAACGCATGTCCTTCAGTACTGAGGTTAAAAGCTCTTCTTCAGATTGCTTGAAGTTTGAAAAAGAGGTGTGCTAGCTTTGCTTAGTTTTTTCCTTATTTTTGGTATATACATATAATATTAGAATGTGTGTATTGGAAATGCTATGGTAGGTATTTTGTATTTATCTAATGCAATGATAGTTTCTTGTATGAATGTGCAAGAAGCCTGTGACAGAATGCTATCTTTTTACCGTAGTTTAAGATTTTAAAAGTAGGGATGTACTCCCAGTTTTCTAATATCTTGTAAATCACTGAGATTTGATTCACAGCAAATATTCCTTATTGTTGTTCTTTTTAAAATGGGCTCATTACACAGCATATTAATTGTCATTGGTGGGAGAATATGAAAGAATTTTGTTTTACTTTTTAAAAAATGTAACTGTGGTGAAAAACCAGCCCTGCATTATCAGAAAGTATTTATGAATTATTACTGTAGGATCATCTCTAATTATCATGATTGGGTTACAGTTTAAGCCTCTGTTTCTTTTCAAATGTTATATTTTTAAATATCATTACTCTGTAAAAGAAAATTGCTCACTCTATTTACACCTTTGCTCATAGGAGAGCTTTCATTCTTAAATTGTATTCCTACACTCTGAAGATGTTTAGAACAAGTTTTTGTGCCTGCAGCAGAGCCTGCAGAAGCTAATCCAAGGAACACTGGTCTTTCACAAAATACTTGTGTAAATTTTGATACTGTATTAAAACTATTTTTTTAAAGTTCCACATAAAATTGAGTATTAAGTATATGTGTTCATCTTAGCAATGGTAATAAATTATTTAATCTCACAGTGTGTTTTCAAAGTGTTTTTTTTTTCTTTTTTTTCAAAGTGTTTTTTAATTGAGTAGATTTCTAATATCCACTAAATATGCTCCTGTGTAATGGTTCTAACAATAAGAATACAGACAATTCATTATCTTAAACATAAAACCAAACCATGTTTCAAATATGTTTACAAACATAGATTTGATATCCAAATTTCTCAATTTACATTATTGTCTATTATAACATAGTTAAAATTTAGGATATTTAGTGATATTTAAGAATTTTTAAAAATTTGCTTCTGTTGTACAATGCTGTCATTCTTTTTTTACTTTTGTTGTTTTTTTCATTAAGTTTATTGGTACATTTTAGGTATACAATACAGTTACATTCATCATTGTACCTTTACATGATGTATCTTGGTTCTTATTTTTTCCCCATTCCCCTGACCTCCCTTCAAACCCTCTACCCTTCCCTCTTTACAAAAATTTTGTTTCCGTTTTTTCCTTTCTCATGTTTTTTCTTTCCCTTCTTTCCTTTCCTCTACCCCTCCCACTTCCCCTACCCCATTTAGACCTTTCTTCTTATTTCACATTATCAATATAGATTAAAATTAAATTTAATCCAATTGTCCAATTAAACCACTAGTAGAAGAAATATACTGGAAGTAAAACTCTAAGGAAATGAAAAACTTGGCTACTTGCGAAATTTAAAGCTATATTTAAGGAGCTTGCACATTATTGGGAAAAGGTATACACATATGATCAAGACATAAATAGGAAAACACACACACACACCCACACATTCACTCAGAGATCACAGATAGAGCTTGGAAATCACTACCAAGAACTGAGATGCTGAAATAAGACTTCTTACACTTGGCACTAGTCCCAACATTTATTAGCAAGAATTTGTAGATCAAAATGAGTGGCACTGTTCTCTGATGTGATCATTTTATAAGTTTATTATCTTCCTAGAGTCAAAGCTAATTTATGTATCTTGACTATTTTTACCAGCCTTGAAGCTGATAGACTGACAATCACAATCTAGCTTTTAATGAGTGCCTTTCATATTTAGCACATGTTTATGGCATTGTAGAAAATGCAGATCATCTTATGTGACATTCAATAAAATATTGACAATCTAGTTGGGAGAATTGTTCATTAGTTCAGTGAGCATTTAATGAATGCCCACCAGTTCCTTAAGAGTAAACACAGCTCTGGTTCCTGACTCATAAGGCTGGCTGTTCAAGATGTATGGAGGAGTAGTGTCTTAGATGCCAGCAGGAGCTTCCTTTATTATTGAGATCTAGATAGGATTGCCTCAATCATCTATTTTCTTTATCAGAGGAAGCAGTAAGCTTCCTGAGAATTCCACTGGTTCCCCAAATCTATCAGCTTTGTGGTAAGCTTCCTACAGCCTTGTTCTCTCTCTACCTAAGTTGTAAACTGATTTCTTCATTAGAAACCTTGACATCCATTCCTGGAAGGGATCTGCCTACCTCAAGCAAGGTAGAGGCCTGATAAGTTCATGGTATCTCATAAAGAATTCATATATTGGTCTCTAAAGGATAAAACATTTCCCACCCCGTTAAATAATTAAAGACAAAATAATAAGCAGAAACATGAAATCGCTAATATTTGAGCATTTCAGAACTATAAAAACTGCATTTTCATGGTTCAACCTCATAGGATGAAGAAATTTTTGGAGGAGGGAATAAGAGGGTAGAGGATAAATTCTATGGAAGTTGACAAGAGAGTCATCACCTTAGGGTGGAGCTATAGTAGAATAGGCTAATTTCAGATCAACATTAGATAAAACGTGATTCACTTTAGGCAGGCAGACTTTGGGCCTACAAGTTCTGCATTTGAATCTAATTAGGTCTGTAAGCTTGAACTTTAGTGAGTCTCAGTTTTGTCACATGGAGAAAGGAAATAACATGTATTTTGGTGCATTGTAAGTTTCTTATTCCCGTTTTATTTTAGGGCCTTCATTGTGCACCAAAATATAGGAGCCTAGATTCGTGGGCTGTGGGTACACATAACATTAGGTTAGGGGAGAAAAAAATATTAATGCTGAAAGGACTGTCTACTAACATGTAAAGAAATTCTAGCTGCATAGTTACATATTATCAACTTCTGTTCTTTATATATCATCCAGCATACATTAGACTATATCAAGACAGATTATGAATGATGATTATGTAAATGGAGTAAAGAGAGACATTGATATGATTCTCATTTACTAATAGTATGTTTAAAAATCTTTTACCACTGCTATTTATAATTTCTGTATTTTTCATACTGCTGAGAATACATGAGAATAAAAATTCAAAATGGTAGAATGAATACCTGCTACAGCATCTTCTTGCCTCAAATCCTAAAACTTATTTAACAGGTATTTTAATAAATAAATCCATGTTTCCACTAGGCTATAAAACATATCCATTGGTCAGTGATGATGAGACTTTCTTGAAAGAAGCGAGGCAAATACGACTGAATGAAGGATCAACCATAATTCAAAATACATAATAGAGGGCACTGTAGAATAAGATCACTGGAAGAGCACTCCAAACAGGGAAGAGTTATTATGTGCATGGTACCATCCTGGGGTAACTGAGAGTAGCTAAGCATATTCTCACTGCTGGGAATCCACTGCACTGGCTTATAGCAGCTTCCCTGTAAATCCAACTTGGCCCAGCAGAGTGGTTGACTCTGCCTGCTGGATGCCCTTCACTGTAGAGGAGAGGTATTGCAACACAGAGAGGGATGAGGGACCTTGCACTTGGGAATCAGGAGATCAGTTCACTTGCCCTCTGAGTCCATGGGTACGGCTAGCCATATGTGAAGCCATACCATTTTAGGGTTAAAGGCAGGCATTCATGTGGTTCCTTCCATTCTTGTGCCCTGTGCCACATTTGGGTTTCTGTTACTGATAAGATCATGCAAGAACACCATAGTTCCTGGTGGTGCCCCAACAAAAGGAGAGTGCTCAGGGGCTCTGGAGAAACTCCATGGCTGTAGCTGGTCACTTTGCTTCTGAATCTAGAGCAATTTTGCATAGTTCCATGTCCTCTTCCAATTCACTCCTGGGCAGGCACTATAGTGGAAGAATGTGGGTGAAGAGAAAACCCTTAGCTGTTGCCTTGTCTTCTAGTGTGCACATCCAAAGGAATGCCCAAGAGGAGTTTTGCCTGGCTTTAGCCTGCACAGGCAATGTTACTGAAGCTGCAGAAAGGGACACTCTGGTTCCTGCTGCTACCTCACTTACTTGCATCCTGCTCCCCCACTCTTGCACCTGGTCTGAGAATGAACAACTATCTGGACTGAATATGGGTGACCCAGACAGGGTGCTATGTTTTCTGCCACTATCTCTCCAAATGTCTGGATCTGTTACCATCACATATTATAATAAATCTATAAAAAGTACAAGATAAATAATTTTAAATTCTGTAAAACTAAATATGTCAAGTCACATTTGAGGGCATCCTAATTAGACTAACAGCAGATTTCTCAGGAGAAACCCTATAGGGAAGGAGGGAATGGAGTGAAGTATGTCAAGTCCTAAAAGAAAACTGCCAATCAAGATTGCTATATTCAGCAAGGCTGTCCTTCAGAAATTAAGGAAAAAGACCTTTCAAGGTAAGCAAAAAACTGATGGGATCTGTGGACACCACACCACCCTTATGAAAGATACTTAAGGGAGTCCTTAAATTAGGTGAAAGAAAGATAACTATCACTTTGAAAGCATGCGAAAATATAAATCCCAGAAGTGTAGATATACACAAAATAAAAAGGAAAGTATCAAACATTATCAATACAATAAACCATCAAACTACAAAGATGAACAAGAGAGGAAGAGAGGAAGAAAGAATATTAAAAACTAGAAAAATTGGGAACAAATGATAGGAGAAAGTCTTTATCTGTAAGAACCTTGAATAGAAGCAAACCAAATTCTCCATTTAAAAGATACAGGTTGCTGTTTTTATTACAGTAGCTCTATAGTATAATTTCAAGTCAAGGACGGTGATTACCATTGCCTTGCCTGTGTTGCCTAGAATTGTTTTTGCTCTTCTAGGTTTATTCCAGTTCCAGATGAATTTTAGGATGCTTTCTCTGTGAGGTATGCTAGTGGTAATTTGTTTGGGATTGCATTAAATCTGTATAACATTTTTGGAAGCATGGCCATCTTCACTATGTTGGTTATTCCTACCAAAGAGCAGGGGATGTCTTTCTATTTTCTGATATCCTCTTCAACTTCTTTTTTCAGGGTACTATAATTTTCTATGTATAGATCTTTTATTTTCTTTGTTAGATTGATTCCCAGGTATTTCATTTCTTTGATGCTATTGTGAAAGCTATTGTTTCCTTAATTTCTTTTTCAGTGAGTTTGTATTTGTGTACAGGAATGCTATTGATTTTTGAGTGTTGACTTTGGTACTGGCAAAAAAAACCCAAAAAATGAATCCAGCCTGAGAATCAATGGAACAGACTAGAAGAGGGAAAAACAACATCAAATATACTCATCCACCTTATTCTCAACGAATGGGCCAAACTTGTTCACTGGAGGAAAGTTAACCTCCTCAAAATGGGGTTCTGGAAAAACTGGCTTTCTAGTTGATTAGGAGTAAAACTAGATCCATGTCTCTCACCATGCACTAAACTAAAATCAAAATAGATCAAAGATCTAAATATTTAAACAGAAACACTGAATCTGCTGGAAGAGAGAATAGGTAGAACTCTAGAGGATATAGGAGTAGGCAACGACTTCATGAAAAAAACTCAAACTGCACTGGAAATAGTGCAAAGAATCAACAACAGGGATCTCACTTTATTAAAAAGATTTTGCACTGCAAAAGAAATCACCAACAGAGTTTAGAGACAAGCCATGGGTGGGAAAAAATTCTAGCTAGTAGTCTCTCAGACAAAGGACTAATATTTAGAACATACAAAGACTTGAAAAAAATCAGACTCCCCAAAATTAAAGACCCAATCCCAAAATGGACATCTGAAATGAACAGA